CCCCTCCCTCTCTCTCTCTCTCTCTCTCTCTCTCTCTCTCTCTCTCTCTTCCCCCCCCCTCCATGACCTTTCAATTCCACAAGTTGTGGCGGCCTTAACGATTCTCTCCTTGTGTTGTTGCACCACCCTTAGACAATCACAGTCTTTCTCTATCTCGCTGGCACGTTTCGTTTTCTTTTTTTTTTTCACGTTTCGTTTTCCTCCTCTTCTTCTTTTTAATTGTTATTTGCTTCCCCCCTTCTGTCCTCGTCCCTCAGGTATACCTAAGTATTTCATGACCTTTCAATTCCACAAGCTATAGCGGCGGCCTTAACGATTGTCTCCTCGTGTTTCGGCCAGTCCCCATGGCCTGCTGCAGACACTTTTTTAGGGCATTTTTTTTTACATCGTGATTTTCTTGAATTTACCAGGCTGTAACCTACGTCTTGGTTCAGTCGCGGAGGCAAGTTGAATCTTGCTTGCTCATTCTCGTGGCCAGATTGTGTTCTGGGAACAATCTGCGCCTGGAGACAAGATGTACCCACCTTCTTCCCCCCAATACAACGTATGGACGGTCATTATAGCTGTATTTAGACCGAAAGATGCCCCAAATACAGCTATAATGACCGTCCATACGTTGTATTCGGCGGAAGAAGGTAGGTTGGACCAACTGCTGCTGCTCCAACTCGCAACGAGATGGCGGAACTAATCTGTACCCCAGCAATAGGTTAAAGACCTACTCGACGCTGATTTTTTTTTTTTATTATTTTTTTTTTACGCTGATTTTTCAGGTGCACTATGTGACCCGAGTTCAATTGTATTAAGAGTTATTAAGTATAATTTTTTGAAGCGATAGAACCAGATATCTATGTCGGATGCGAGATTAAAAGTGTAGAGATAGGAACGTTGTGACATTGTGACATTGGATAGAAGGAAGATATATTATTCTGTATTGATTGAAATTTGGAAGGGAAATCGCAATCCCTCAGTCTGATGACTGTAAGCTAAACTGGCTGGTGCTGCCAGGAAGGATAACTCCGGGTAGAATTGTGAGGTGCCCGGCCTCGTTCAAACAATTTGGAATATAACGGTAAGTGTTTTGGGGGGAAAAAAAAAAAAGAGGGGAGTTCAATTGTGTGCAAAGTCCCGAAGGTTTCATTGCTTCTTTTTTTTTTTTTTTTTTAATTTGACTAATGGCAGTTACACAGATTATGTTGGTTGCCGCTTGTAGACAGAGTCTGACATCTGACAGACTTACACAACTCTGCACACACGCACGCACTCAAACACGCACTCAAACACGCACGTATGCACACAATCGCTCGATCGATTGGCTGATGTTGATTGGATTGGTTGATTGATTGGTTGATTGATTGGTTGGTTGATTGGTTGATTGATTGGTAGATTGATTGGTTGATTGATTGGTAGATTGATTGGTTGATTGATTGGTAGATTGATTGGTCTGTTGATTGACTGGTATTGATTGGTTGATTGATTGGTAGATTGATTGGTATATTGATTGATTGGTATATTGATTGATTGGTATATTGATTGACGGGTTGTAAGAAAGGCGCGAATCATTTGGAGCCTTGGGATGATGACGAGCAAGATTCCATGTCTCATGAATATTCTCTCTTGTTGTTTCTCTTAGGCTTTGCGGTAACATGATCAAAGTCAACCAATGGGTGGTCCTCTCTCCACTTCTCTCCACACCCACCGAAAAAGCCAAAAAGTATGCCAATGTATCTCTCCATGTTCTAGTGGAGGATTCATTCTCATTTTGCACTTTTGGAGAGTAGTGGAGAGAGGCCCAACAATAGCCGTGATAATGTCCGTGAAGGGAACGTGACCATCACGGGTAGTAAGAAAAGTTTGAATCTCCGGGACCACCACCCAAGGAGGGACTTAGAATCTCCGGGACCACCACCCAAGGAGGGACTTAGAATCTCCGGGACCACCACTCAAGGAGGGACTTAGAATCTCGGGGACCACCACCCAAGAAGGAGGGACTTAGAATCTCCGGGACCACCACCCAAGAAGGAGGGACTTGGAATCTCCGGGACCACCACCCAAGGAGGGACTTGGAATCTCCGGGACTCACCCAACTTGAAGGGGGGCTTGGACGAACCCCTCTAAGCGTTGATCGAGGCCCGTAATTCTTTTTGGGGGTCCGATTACCAGAAAAAGTAATTCGTGGTACGATTGATTTTACCTGTACAATCCCATCACATTGAGATCTTTTTTTTTTTTTTTTTTTTTTTTTT